ACTTACTGGTAATGTGAATTTGTGCAAGTCTCTTAACCCGTCTAGGCCATAGTTCCTCGGCCATGAATTATTAATAGCTACCTTCCAGCATTAGAAGAGAATTAAATGAGCTTGTGCATGCAGAGCACTCAGCCCTAAAACTGGGACCTGGGAATCCCTCTGTAAATGCACTGTGTGTGTACTCTGTCTTAGCCTGGTCCCTGGTGTCCTCCACACTCCGATATATTTTTTAATTGTGGTAAAATACACATAATATAAAATTTACTATCACAACCACGTTTAAGTGCACAGTTCAGTGGCATTGTGTACATTCACGTTGTTGTGCAAACATCACCAACCATCTCCCAAACTCTCTTCATCCCACAAAACAGAAATTCTGTACCCATTAAACAGTAAGTCTTCATTCATCCTTTCTCCAGCCCAGACAGCCACAATTCGACTTTCAGTCTCTATGAATTTGACTATTCTAGGGACCTGATATAAGTGGATTCTTACAATATTTGTTCTTTCATGACTGGCTTATTTCACTTAGCATAATGTCTTCAAAATTCATCCATGTTGTAGCATGTGTCAGAACTTCCTTCCTTTTGAAGGCTGAACAATACTCCATTGCATGGATGTGCCACAGTTTGTTAAACCATTCATCTGTCAATAGACACTTGGGTTGCTTCAACACCTTGGCTATTTGTGAATAATGCTGTTATGAACATGGGTGTGTGAATATCTGCTCCAGTTCCTGCTTTCAGTTCTTTTGGGTATGTACCCAGAAGTGAAATTGCTGAATCATATGGTAATTCTATTTTTAATTTTTTGAGGAGACACCATATCAGTATCCACAGTGTCTGCACCATCACGCTGTGATTTCAAGTGTGAATCTTATGTCCTGACTCAGAGATAAAGAAAGGGCATTTCTGCTGAAGAGGACACCTTCCACTCATACCCAGCTGTGCTATTCTTGTTTGAGTCCAGTCTACATGAGCGGTGGCAATTTTGTCTCCTAGAGGACATTTGGCAATGTCTGGAGACATTTTTTAGTTAAATGACTGGAGAGGGAGGTGCTACTGGCATCTGGTAGGTGAAGGCCGGGAATGCTGCTAAATATCCTGTAATGCACAGGACAGCCCCTCTACTTCCTTCTTCTCCACTGTCCCCACCTCCCACCCCCAGCAAAGAATTAGCCATTCCAAGATGTCAGCAGTGCAGAGGTTGAGAAACCCTGGTCTACACCAAGCAATCAGCCTGAGCCAAGCACCTCAAGGCACAAAGCAAGATAAAGGTAGATCCTGCCCTCCCAGACCTCACACTCTAATGCTGAAGATATTTGGTGTAGCTGAGCTCTGCCACAGGGAAGAAAGCAGTTAGTGCTGGCATTGAGGTCTGAACAGAATGCTGTGAATGCCCCAGAAGAAGGGAAAGTTGAATTCTGGCCATAAAGATGGATCTCCTCTGGTTAAGTTTCACTGAAAAGCTGTTTGAAACTGTGCAATCATGAGCTTTACACTCATAGGCATAACATAGGCATGTCGCTGGGCTGGTGACCAGGAAGGTGAGGGAGTCTGGCTGTAGTGAAGCAGAAGATGTCATGTTCCCAGGGCTCTGGGAGCCTGAGCCCTCAGTGCTGCTGCTGCAGGATTGCTTCCAGTTGCAGATCCCGGAAAGGCTAGTTTATAAGACCCTGCCTGGGCTCAGCGGTTGGGCTGGTCATATGGTGTGGGGTGTAGACCAGCGCTCTGTAGACAGGAGCTGAGGACCTCCTGCCATCGCTTCTAGTCACACACTTATTTATTCGTTCATGCAACAAATATCTAAATACTCGCTGTTTGTCTGCACTGCACTGGAGCTGGGGACACAGTAGTGAGGAAAATCAAATGAGGTCCCGGTCTCAGCGCGCTGAGGGAGCAGACATTCATCAAGCACCATCTGTCTGTTTATGAAATGTGAATGGAGATAAGACTACGAGTGAGAGAAATGTGGTTTGGGAGCCTGTACAACCTGACCTAACCTGCAGCGCCACAAAGGCCTTCCTGAGGAAGTGATGCAGGAATTAAGAGGGAAGGTGGCTGCGTTAAGGAGCCATGGAGTTCTAAGAGCCCTGGGCCACGGCAGGACGGCGAGCAGGGCCAGCTGCCTTCCCCCATTTCTCCTCCGCCCTGTCTGCCCTTCCAGCTGTGTGCAGATGCGGGGAGTGAAGCGGGGCCTCCGCAGGCCGCTTCTCGGTGGTGCTGGCAAGAGAGTCTCTGAAGTTGGTTCTGATGGTGGCAGTGCAGGTGGCTGGTGTGGAGAGGTGACGATGGCCAGGGGAGTCTAGAGTGAGCACGCCTGGGAGGCGGCAGACGGCTGCTCAGGCCTCGGTGGGCAGTGGGCTCTTGATCCCAGCTCTGGTCTCTACTGTGACTGTAGGCAGATCTCAGCCTCAGGGGCCTACTGCACAGTGGAATAAACAATCTTGTTTCCCTCCACCCTGTTTATCTCACTTAGTTAAAAACGTAGACGGCACCTGGTGCCCAGGGGACCACAGGGAATAAGTTGGTTTTACATGGCTCGGCAGACCCGGAAAAGAAGGATAAATAGAGATAACTATGGTATTAAGAGTAAAAGACTTCTCAAGTAGGGACAGTAAAGAAAGGGTGAGGAAGCCGGAGTCGTGCAGCTTGCAGAGAAGGCTGAAGCACTAATTTGCCGGGATGTGAGGAATGGGAATGACTTGGAAGACAGAATATTGCCTCCTCATCTTTGCTGACAACAGAAAGAGGAAACTGACTTGAGCTTGCAGAGAAGGCTGAAGCACTAATTTGCCGGGATGTGAGGAATGGGAATTACTTGGAAGACAGAATATTGCCTCCTCATCTTTGCTGACAACAGAAAGAGGAAACTGACTTGAGATGCAGACAAGAAGGATTGGGTTAATAACAGGAGAGATTTGTGGTCAGCAGTGTTGTTGGTCAGGAGTGAGCCACGGAGAGGTATGAATGGCCTTTCCCAGCTCACACTCACAAGAGGAAAGATACGTGTGTGTGTGTGTGTGTGTGTGTGTGTGTGTGTGTGTGTGTGTGTTGGGGGGGAGATTGGATGAAAGGCACTTGAGGGTCTCACTGACATCTGGAATTTTCTTCCAGCTCATTTCTAGCTCCAGCACAGTGCAAGATTTTAGATCATATGCAGCAATCCTGAGCTGAGGGCGGGTGGAGGAATGATTACCTGAAGCAAAGGACCGGAATCTGGGTGTGACGGGAGCTCAGGATCTCACCCTAGCTTAGTGTGAGTCCTTTTGTTTCAAATGGAGCTAACAAACTTCCTGTTTGCAGAGTCGCCTCCCTCTCACCCCGTCCTCCAACCGTGGCTTCTGAGATGGCTGGTTGAGGGATTGCTGGTGAGCCAGAGATGCCACGTGTGCTAAACAGATGCACTTCTAGAATCATTGCACACTCTCTCACTCCCCTTCCTTTTTTGAAACACCCATTCATATTTAATTCAGTTCTTCCAAATGGCTTCCACGTCACCAGTCTTCCCACTTTGCAGTGCGTCATGGTCTCCCTTAATGCCCATACCTGCCAAATTGAACTTTATGGCTTATCAGCTAGAAGATTGCCATAGGATCAAGCCAGTGTTCTTGCAGTTCCGTCATGAGCGTTCACACCTACCAGCTCTTTTTTATTGTTCAGAGGGGTGTATTCCTTTGCACAGAGCTGTCAGTCACTTCCACATGGGCAATTTTGTGCAGTTGCTTCTTGCATAACTGGGAGGAAGGGGATGGTTGACTGAGATAATGAGTCCTCATTTGGGAGGCAGATTATTAGGGGATAAGAGGACACTTGCTTCAGCTGTGCAAACTAACCTTGTCGTGGGACCGTTGCACTCAGACAGGAAGGCGGGGGGGGGGGGGAGCATCAACAGCTCAGCCACCGTGTCCCTTACCCCATCAGCCGGTCCCTGCCCTTCCCTCCTTGTGAGGTCCTAGTCAGCCCAGGACTCATGTCCAGCATTTATTTATGACCTCCTCACACCGTCTCGTACAGTCCCCCTTTAAAACACAAATATTCTTGGGGGCTTGATCCCATAAGCCAGTAGCAGTTAACACCTTATCTGGAATCAGTTGTCAGCCAGCAGGGAGCAGGAGTGGGACACCACAGACAGGCGTAGGCCACTGAGAGAGAGAGTAAGGGGATTTATCTAGCAACGCTCAGGGAAAAAGGACCAAAATACCCGCCCGTAGGAACTTACAAATGCAGTGTTGGGGCCCTGCAACACAAGGCTCTTCCCTCAGGGAAGGGCCCTGACATTGAGTGGCCCACACCTGCATCTCCATAGGGGAGGCGGCGTGGCAGAGGGGAGCAGGCTCAGGCAGGGCAGGAGAGACTGGGTACGATGCCTGGCTCTGCCGGTCACTCGTTGAGTGGTCTCGGGGGCTCTGCATCCCTCTTTCTCTCTCTCTGCCTCCCTACCACTTTTTACTGAATGCTTCCTCTGTGCCAGGCCTATGCCACTTGCTTTACATTTCTTACCTTATTTAACTTGATCACAGCACAATGTGTGGGTATTATCCTACAGAGGTATTCAGTCCTGTACAGCTTTAGTCCTTTACAGAGGCTGGGTGCCAGCTCTGGAGTCAGACCTAGATTTGACTCCTGGCTATGTCATTACTAGCCATGTGACTTTGGGGCAGGTAATTTAACCTCATACTTCCCCTGTAGGATGGGGATAATAATGCCTGCCTCACGGGGTTGTCATGAGAATTACATGTAGATAGATAAGTAGATAGATATGAATTTATTTCTAAATCACCCAGCGAAGTGCCTAGTACATCAGTAGGTACCCAGTCAGGGGTAGCTGTTCTAATCTGGAAAGGAGGAGGATGGTGAAGCGGTCTAGACACAGAAGCTAGCTCCCGGCTTTTGTAGGGCTGGGCCAAACTCTAGACATTTTTTGGCAGAAGGCTCTGCAGTCCCAGGCCAGCCACTGTGACCATCGGTGTTAACCAGTGCAGTCTGGATTGTTTTCAGAGGCTCCATAAGGAGTTGCCCCTCAGCCTGGAGGAACTGGAGGATGTGTTTGATGCCCTGGATACTGATGGCAATGGCTTTCTGACCCCAGAGGAGTTCACTTCTGGATTTAGTAAGTTCTGAGGGATGCTGGGGACCCCAGGGTTATGGGTCCACCTAAAGCTGTATAAGGTGCATTCGTGTCCCCTCCAGTTCTGGGGACCATGTAGTGCAAGCTTTCCTGCCCTCCTTTCAGGGATCCTTTCAGGGATCCAGAGCTGAGGTTTCCAGGCTCTGGGTTATTTGGGCCTCTTTTCACACGTCCACCTCGACCGCCTCTAGCACTGCTCTATCAGTGCCTACGGCACGGTAACTGCCAAGTCCCCTCCTGTCTGAGAATGGCAAGGGGAATGAGAGAAGCTCTGGCAAAAGGCTTGGCATGAAAGGGGGAGCTGTGATGAGATTTACAGTCCCTCCTTTCTGCCTTGATAGACAAAAATGTGGAATGACTGGATGGCTCTTTCCAACCTGAGGCTGGCTGAGTAGTCCAGGGTAAGAGATACCAGCTCTCAGAGGGATTTCTAGAGGGCTTGAATAGACCAGTCATTCTCCAGGAGAACTGAGATCCATGAACACCAGGTACACTATCAGACCAGATAAACCAAGAGACAAATTTTACCATATGTCTGCCTCATGCAAGAGGCCATATAATTTTCTTAGAAGTATCTGGTGCCTGTTCTGACCTCCAGGAGCTCACAACTGACTTGGGAGGATAGGATGGGTTGCTATAAGAGTAGGCAGCGTGCATTTGGAGAAAGTGCGCTCAGAACCGCTGAGTGACTTGTTACTGTGAAGTGCAGTGAGGCTAGGGGTGGGGACAACCGGGATGATGACATGGAGTACAGTCAGGCTGCTGGAGGACAATGCAGGGAGAGGTCTCGTCAGGGAAAGAAGAAACCAACACAGAGATGTGTCCCAAGCCAGATTTTAGAGGATTGAGAACGAGAAAGGAGCCATAGTACCTGCCATGCAGTCTGCCTCTCCCAGGTTCTAGCATCTCTGCCAGAATGCTATGGAGGTGGAAAAGACAAAATCCAGGACCGAGCGGCCATGGATCATTGTGATAGGGGGTTTCCCTGTTTATTCTCTCATGTGGACTTCAGATGATCCCTGACAACTGAGAAAGCTAAGCACTTCCAGGGTGAGTACTGTCTCGTTCAGGTCCTTGTGCCGTGCACCCCCCAGGTCACTTCTTCTACAGCCAGAATAACCCATGTCAGGAAGACGCAGGCGAACCAGCAGCCCAGCTGCAAGGAGAGAACGTGTATCAGTCCAGAGGGGAGGAGTATCTGGGAGACATGGACGAAGATGAGGAAGCCCAGTTCCAGATGCTGATGGACAACCTTGGAGCCCAAAAGGTTTTAGAAGAGTAAGTGGTGATGGTGACTTGGGGGATGGAGCCCAGTCTAGGAGGAGCCTCTTCATCGGCCCTGTCCAGTAGTTCATGGTTGTCAACACTCAGGGCCAGTCCCCACTTTGGTGCTGCCAGCTAGGACTCTGCTTCATGCAAACTGCCCTCTGCAATGACCAGTCCCTGCTTTTTACATTCTTTTCTTTGGGAGACATTCCTAGTCTTCTCTCCCACTCTCTCTGCTCTGCTCACTTCCTGCTGTCGTTGTCATCACAGTCCTTGGCTCAGCCTGGCTTCCCGAGGGGTGTGCACACATCAGAGGTCTGTACCACGCCCTTGGGGTTTCCAGTGAGTTCTCGCTATAGCTTCCTATCATGTCAGCGCACCAGCATTTCTACCTGGGTCTCTGGGGCGACAGTGCATCCCGGCTGCCCGCATCCTGGGTGCGTTCCTGGCAAAGGCCACCCATGTGGAAGCGTTTGCTGCACCTTATGTCCCTGAGCAAACCAAACAGCAAAGCCATCTAGGAAGCTGAGGCAGGAGATTAACCAGTTTTTACCAGACCACCACTTGGATAATTGGTGGCTCAGCTAAAAATTTTAGATGACTAGAATTTCAAACAAAACATAATACCCTAATTTTTATTTTTCCCAAAAAAGTGCTTTGGAATAAAGAGACACATGGATCTGAGCCCTGGCATTTAAATAAAATAAAATAAAATAATTAAAATAATAAAAAATAATGTTGTAGTTAGTAGAAACAAAACAGTGGGCCCCAAAAGTCTTTGCCTTTTCATTTTGAGGTCTCTAGGCCTTCGGCTGGGTGTGTGTTTCATGGAAGGTGGGTGTAGCCTAATGATTGGAGCTGCTGTCTCCTGAGCTTGGGAAGAAAAGGGACTATGGTGGAGAACGAGAAAGAGGAAGCAAGCGAGAAGGGGCCCGCACACTACGTGCAGGCCAAAACTCTGTGTGTGTTTGAGCAAACATTTGGTAGACTGTGTCAGAGTTGAGAAGGGCTGGCAAAAGTGTGTGCTGGGCAAGAGGGGACAGGCAAAGTCTAGCAGACAGCCTGGCGTGAGGCCTTGGACAGGAAGTGACATTTGACACCAGCTGCAGCGGTGGCAGTAGCAGTGGCTCTGCTGCAGGTTTAGAAGGGGCCAGCGCAGGCGTGGGTGAGCAGAGGGTGGAGGTGGGCAGGTGGGAAGCTCGTTAGTCAGACACCCGACTCAGCTTCACCAAGGACGGGAGGCCAGGGCACAGTGACAGCTGCCAGTGGCCCTGTGAAGCCTCCTCCTTGAGGAGGGGAAGGAAGAGAGGGCAGTGCGGTGAGCCAAGGCACTGCAGTGAAAGAAAGGGGCCCCTCTGCCCGCCCCACTTCGGGGCGGCCTCCTTCCTGGCAGGGCTCTCACATCAGAGTTCACCAGATGCTACTCTGAGGACCTGTGTCAAAGGCCTGTGCAGAACTGAGCCGAAATGGGATATCCTGCAGACGAGAAGGCTTTGGGGAGGTTTCAAGCATGGTCTGTCAAAACTGATACACAGAAGATGGAGACCAGCGATTTCCATCCTCACTGAAGTGGGCTTCAGTTGCAGCATGAGGGAAATGTCATGACCACGGCACCCCCGACAAGGAAACAGAGGAGGCTGCGAAGACGTTAGAGGTCATTAAAGCTTTTGCTCACCAAAACGGCTTGCGTGTTCTGGAAGCAGAGAGATGGATGGGCTGACTTCCCAGAACCCTTCTAGCCTGTCCCGTGACGGGCAGCCTCCGTGTGGTCCAGCTGTGGTAGACTGTACCTCTGGACTCCCGACATTTCTGGGTGGTCTGATTGGCTGAGTAACTTGGCAGCTTGGTGGACCTTGGCTTATTTTTCATCAGAAGTTAAAAGACTTGTTCCTTTCTCCAGCAATCTGGGGTGGGTGACGTGGCCATGGCCAAGTGGTTCAAAGAGCCCTGGGAGAGGGTCGGGTGGGTCTGCACATCTCTCTGGAGGCGTTAGCCCAACTGGCTACTCGGCCAGGCTCCAAATAGGATGCAGGCAGATAGGGACAGACAGACCTAGCAAGGTGGACCTGGATTTTTTTTTTTTATTACTTTTTATATTTTAAAACCTGGGTGGCCAGTTAGCTCAGTTGGTTACAGCACAGTCTGATAATCCCCAAGGTCATGGGTTCAAATCCCTGGACTGGCCAGCCACCATTAAATAAAAAAGATGATGAAAAAAAAAAAAAGAAAAAGAAAACCCAAAGCATGGGCAGGACATACCTTGGTTTTATAATGTATTTAATTCATGAGGAAGTGTCTTAGTCCATTTGAGCTGCTGTAACAAACAATCATGGATGCCTTATAAATAACAGAAATTTTTTTCTCACAGTTCTGGCAGTCCAGGATCAAGGCGCTGGCAGATTTGGTGTCTGGCGAGGTCAGTTTTCCTGGTTCATAGGAAGTCTCCTCGCTATGTGCGTCCTTCCATGGAGGAAAGAGCAAATGAGCTCCCTCTGGCCTCTTTATAAGGGCGCTAACCCCGTTCACGAGGGCTCAGCCTTCATGAGCTAATCACTTCCCAAAAGCCTCACCTCCTAATACCATCCCCTTTGGGAGTTGGGATTTTAACATGTGAATGAGAGGGGGACACAACATTTAGACTACAGCAAGGAGCAGCCAGCCACAGAAATGGGAGGTCACCGTGCTGTCTCCCTGAGACCTTCTCATCTGTGAGCCCTGAGCGCCGTCCACATTTTACCAACGCTGAAGCGGACGCCCACGACATGCCCCGTGTGGGGAAGATGGAACTCGTTCTGGGAAACAGAGACTCTCCTTATCTCCCTTCCTTTGTTTCCCATATTCTTTCAGTACAGTGCTCAGTTTATAACAGATAATGATGAATGCTTGTTGGGTGGGTGGGGGAAGGGGTGGACGGATGGACGGATGGACAGACAGAAGGATGTATGGGTGGTCTGAATGAGTAGGTAGATGTTTGGATGAGATGGAAGGAGGAAAGGGTGGGAGAGGTGAGCAAGGGAAGGGGGTGGGAGGTAGGACTAGACGGTGGTCAGGCAACTAGCCAGAGGGAGGCTCATTCCTCAGGGGCCTCTGCTCTGCTGGATGCAGAGACTGGTGAACGTACCCCAAGAACATTGCTGCCATGGCGCCATTGAACATCACTTTTCAGGAAAGCTTCTCAAATACAGTGCTTGTTACTTACACACAAAGGATTTCTTTCTTTATCCTGAGGAATCCCAGTCTTAGCTGCCCTCAGATCATACTGGTGTTAGAATTAATGGGGGTACGAATCAGATTTATCTGTGACTAAGTTTGATCATTGGCTGTAGATTTTGAGTTTCTCCAGAAAGGAAGGATGGTGTATGGCTCCTCCTGGTCCTCTCTCTGAGTGGTCGGGGTGACCCATGTGTCTCTGCTGTGTGCTGTGTGCCTGTTTCTGGGCATGTCACTCCGTGTCTTTGTCTCTCTGCCTGCTCCGAGCCTCCCGACTCTACTTGTCTTTCCACGTTGCTCACATCTTTCAGACTTGCCCCTTCCTTTCCTTTTGCCTGCCAGTCATCCCTGGTGCCACCAGGTTCAGTGGGTTGTTGCCGCTTCTCCTCCATTTCCCCCTCAGTGACAATTGCTTTCTGCCATCCATCAGATGGCATGTCTGTACCTCTCAGCAGTGCGGACCCTCCTTCCTGGGGGTGACATGCTCTCTCCTTCAGCTCCACGGCACTTGCCCTCCCGTGCACCGGGCTCCCGTCCTCCTCTCTGCTTCCTGGCATTTTGAGATGCTCCTGAGCACGCTGCAGTGACAATTGCTTTCTGCCATCCATCAGATGGCATGTCTGTACCTCTCAGCAGTGTGGACCCTCCTTCCTGGGGGTGACATGCTCTCTCCTTCAGCTCCACGGCACTTGCCCTCCGGTGCACCGGGCTCCCGTCCTCCTCTCTGCTTCCTGGCATTTTGAGATGCTCCTGAGCACGCTGCTGTGTGTGCTCAGCTCCACTTGCCCATCATGAAAGACACGGGGGACCAGAAGCAGCAGGCCAGGTGGCTGAGGCGGCCAGCACAAGCCAGATAGCCCTGGCCTGACCCAACACCATCAGTCAGCGCCGAGTGACTGTGGCACAGCACACCTCCCTTCACGCTCCTTTCCTGTAAATGGGGTGCAGCGGCACCTGCCACACAGGGTGACTGTGGGCACAAAGTGAGCTGATTCGTGAAGCACCTAGCATCCAGCAAGCACTCCATAAATGCTAGCTACTGTCCTCTCTGTCGTGATCACGGTGATGCTTCTGGTGGTCCGTTTCATACCTGCGAACCTCTGCATTTCCCAAAAAGCCTCATTTCCACACCCCACATTAACATCCCTCCTTCTGTTGCAGTGAAAGCGATGTCAGGCAACTCTGGCTGCAGCTGAAGAAGGACGAACCTCACTTACTGTCCAACTTCGAGGAGCCCCACATTAACATCCCTCCTTCTGTTGCAGTGAAAGCGACGTCAGGCAACTCTGGCTGCAGCTGAAGAAGGACGAACCTCACTTACTGTCCAACTTCGAGGATTTCCTGACCAGAATCTTCTCCCAGCTCCAAGAAGCCCACGAGGAGAAGAACGAACTGGAGTGTGCCCTAAAAAAGTGGGTGCCCTGTCCCAGCCACTCCCCACACCTGTGTGTGAAAAGCGGAGTCACAAAGTGCACTGGCTCTTAGGTCTGCCGTGGGAACACGCTGTCATTGTGCACCGGAGTGCAGCCAGGCCTTGGCTGTCACGACGTATCTATTTTAATTCCTCGCTCACACTTATTAAGCGCTCACCATACACTAGGCGCTGTTCTAAATGCTTTACATACACTAGCTCATTTAATTCTCACAACAACCCTTTGAGATAGGGACTATTTATAATTATGCACATTTTACAGATGAGGACATTGCATGAGACAGTGCAATATTAAGTAGCATGCCCCAGAATGCACAGCTTGTACGTGGCAGACCCAGGATTCAGAGAGAGAGCCTGGGGCCCGAGGCCAGAAGAAACCTCTCAGCCTGCCCCTGGGCAGGACGGCCCCAGCACACTGGTGCTCCCCCAGCTCCAATGAGCCCACTTTGCAGAGGTGGCGTTTTGTAAGGTGTCCATCGTCCTGCTGCATTCCCCTCCTAGTCACCCTGAAGGAACTGCTGAAGAAGGGAACTAGAGTCAGCACAGGCAAGGGCATCACAGAATTGGGGGCAAACCAGATAGACACTGATCCCCTCATGGGAATTAGTGTGTGACTATGGGCAATGTGCTTTTCACAGCCATTCAACATACATTTATATACAGTCATTTAACATACAGTCATTCAACATACATTGATAGCAATGAGCTCTCATTTTGTGAAAAACAGAATTAGATGTGGTGTCACTAAGGATGGTTCATAACTTTGAAGGTGAAGCCAAAACACAGGGCTGGGTTTGGATGGAGCTTGGAAGCACGTGGAAAGGGAACCCCCTTACCCCCCATCCCCGTGCCTCTGCCATGCACTCTTGTTCATGCCCGGAGATCTGTTCATAAGCTGTAGGCATCTTCAACAGTTCCATGGCTACGTGATTCCACAGACCACTTGCCCCTCCGTTCAGATGGTTCTCAGCAAAGCTTGGTGGTGCCCAGTGCCACCTCCTATGTGGCAGTGCTTCAGAGTCTACGCTGAAGTGGCCTTAGAGAAAGCACACCAGCCCCTAACTGAAAGAGAAGAGGTCACCATGGGTCCTGCTGTGTAGATCATCTGTCTACATGTTACCCTGAGCCCAGCTCCTTTTCATCTTGTGCCTCTCCCACATCAACTCTAAAAATCGCTTGTTGAAGTCCACTGGGTATATGTATATAGGTCTGGAGAAAAAAGACGTTTAGGACTCTGCATTGTGAGGAAGTTGAGGCCAAGTAGTGCTGCAAGAGACATGGTTTGTCTAGAGGACTGTTAAAAGGCTTCTGGGGAGAGGCTTCCAAGGCTCAGAGAAGGGAAGGGTTGAGGGATATACTTTTATGTAGCCTTTAGCTGATTAAGTCATGGAATCGGAGAGAACTGAGTTTGAACGTAAGTGGCTCTGCCACTTACTAGCTGTGCAACTTAGGCCCAGTTACTTAACTTCTCTGAGTCTCAACTTACTTATCTGTAAGATAGAGATGATAATACCATCCATCTCAAAGAGCTGCAAGGATTAAATGTGATAATGCATGTAAATATCAGGAACAGTGTTAGTACCTAAGTATTTAATGAGTGCCAAAATAATAACAATTATTATTATTATTATTATTATTTTAAAAGATGACCGGTAAGGGGATCTCAACCCTTGGCTTGGTGTTGTCAGCACCACGCTCAGCCAGTGAGCGAACCGGCCATCCCTATATGGGATCTGAACCCGGGGCCTTGGTGTTATCAGCACCGCACTCTCCCGAGTGAGCCACGGGCCGGCCCTAACAATTATTTTTTTAAATAAGTATCTTTGTCAGTATTAGATGATCTGTCTGGCTGAAGTGTAGAGTTTGAGCCTTGTTGTAATCACAGGGACGTTTAACGATCGCTTTATTCTTCTGGACCACATGGTGTAGAGGTTTGCTCCTCGAAGTGTAGTCGATGGGCCGGGAGCCCCGGCATCACCTGGAGACATCCTAGGAATGCAGAATCTCAAGCCTCTCCTCAGCCCTACTGAATCTGCATTTTAAAAGATGTGCAGGTGCTTTGTGTGTAGATTTGAGAAGTGGGGGCTGGGAATCGGGTAGGGTTTGAGTCACGTGTAGCTTTGCAACCAGCTAGCTCCGTGACCTTGCTCAAGTCTCTTGGCTTCTCTGAGACTCAGTTTTCCCATCTGTAAAACGAGGGAGCTGGAATAGTTTCTGATGCTACCTCACCCTCACTCTCCTCTGACCCAGCATTGATCACCTGGAGGAGCCACAGCAAAAGTCAGGAAGCCTCTTCCAGAGAGGAGGTTACTCTTTTTGTTCTCTATGGAGGGTAATTGCAGCCTGAATGGGTGGGCAATTACCCAGCCCATGGCCTGGATCTCATCTGCAGGACCTCCTCTGCTGGCCTACACTCCTGCAGGGAGAGACAAATGCCCCTGACTTGCTGGAGAGTCTCTTAGCCCTGGCATTCATCTTGAAGTGGCCTCTTTTAGTCCTTAAGCCTCTAATTTAATGATTGCTTTAAAAGTTGTTGAGATGAAAGTCAAGACCACTCTTGGCTGCCTGTGCCAAAGATTCCAGCCCCTTTATGGCCATCCTTAGTTGATGTCCCTTCAGCTACACCTGCCCTTGGGTCAGCAGATCAAGGCCCCACTCCTGGCTTGGGGGCTCAGACAGGATTGGGGACTCAGAGCTCTCTGGCCACTCCCATTTCAGGTGAGGGTGCAGAACCAGAGAAGTGCAGGCTGTAGTGAGCAGAACACTGAAATAGGAGGCAGAAAGAACAGGAGCTTTTCCCAGGCACTGACACCTACCAACTGTGTGGCCTCGGGCAGCTTGCTTTACCTCTCTGGGCACCGGTTTCTTTATTGGCAACATGAGAGAACGGGATGGTGTTTTTCAACCGTGACTGTGACCACCAGAGAAAATGCATTTTACTTTGTGACTCCCATGCATTTACACGTATGTACGACTTAAAAGTTTTGTGAAATGGTACTCACCCTTACTACATGTGATATTCACTGGTGTTTTCCATTAATGTTTCTTTTATTCTCTTCTACTAAAAAAAAAGGTTGGTCACACATTGCTGGTGGGCCAGATGGTCTATAAGGGCACTTGTAGTTCAGAAGTCAAACAAGAAACTGGATATCCCAGTAGAGTATAAAATAATGTTTCAATGGGATTCTTTGCAAATGACTTAGGGTGAGGTTAAGTGATTCTGAGACATCTTCCAGAAAGTGAGTTTGGAGGCTTGAGCCTGTTCGTGGCAGGGCCATATCCAGTTTCAGAGAGGGGTGTGGGAGGAAGTTCTTGGGAATGGCCTGGTTCAGGATGGCATCTGGAAGAATCCCAGGAAGAGCGAGCAGTGGTGAGCTGTCAGAGTATCTCCCAGGCTCCTCCACCAGCTCGCTTTTTCAGTATAGGGTATGACATTCAGTGTAGTGTCTGGAAAATAAGCTCCTGTCCCAGAAGATGGAGACAAGAGCTCAAGGCCTGAGCGCTGTGCGTCCAGCCCTGGGACAGGCACCAGGCGGAGTAAATCCACACGTTACCAGCAGCTGGCCTTTAACCAGTGTTTACTCTTTGCCAGGCTGTGAGTTAAGCAAATAGAACTCAGAGTCCCTGCCCTTGAGTTTATGACCACAGTGATGAGGCTGAGCTTATATCTGTAGAAATTCCGCACAAAGCTGGCCAGAAAACCCCCGTGCTGTTGCAGCATTCAGACAGCGTTGCCACAGGCAGCAGTGGCCTCCGCTCGCTCCTCTTTTTGCAGCCACGTGCCATGTTCCTTCCTCCCACAGGCCCAAGGAAATGAGACTGAACTCGGAGAAGACTGGCCCTAGCTAGGTTAAGCAGGACACACACTCTCTGTCCCCGTGGCTGCAATGCTGCCACAGTGAGTTAAAGACGTCCACCCCAGCTTCCTCTTCGCATCCACCCGCAGGTCCTAGGATGGGGAGGGTGCTGCTCAGGCAGGCAAGGGCTTGGGAAAGCTCTGGATAGGAGACAACGTCAGGAAGCCCAACCTCAGAGTGTGCCAGGGCAGTGTCAGAAGTAAACCGGGGCCTTCTCACCTCATCATCACGGATTCTTATCTATGAGCACTCAGTCTCCACCCCCTGCCCAACCTCAGAGTGTGCCAGGGCAGTGTCAGAAGTAACCCGGGGCCTTCTCACCTCATCATCACGGATTCTTATCTATGAGCACTCAGTCTCCACCCCCTTGTCTTCTGGGCAGAGGCTGAGGAAATCTCAGACTTGGAACAGAATCCTGGGTACAGTGTCTAACTCTGCTGCGTGTCCACTGGGAAGTGGCCACAGCCCCTCAGGCAAGGTGGGGGACAAAATCAAATGCAGGAGGCTGGAGCTAGAACCCATTTCCCCTGTTGAACTTCCAGAGTGAGATGCATCCCCTCTGTGCCTCCACTTCTCTTTGAGGAAGGAGGGTGAGATCTCAGCTGAGCAACTCTTCTGCATCCACAGTGCAGAACCTCAAAGAACGTTACGTTCTAGCATGAAGGATCTGGTGCAGACACTAGGAAGAACTTCCAGCCATCAGAATTAGCGATGTACTTGCCATGGAAAGCATTCTCTACATTTACCTTTTTCTGGAAAAAAAAGCTTGAGACCTCCAGGGGATGCAGAATGATACTGTTTAGAGGCAGCAATAGATGCAGACCTTTCGCCAGAATCACTTGAGGATGCTGGGGTCCCACCCTCAGGGGCCAATTCACTTGGTCTAGGGTGGGGGCTTAGGGCCTGCATTTTTAAAGTTTTGGGGGTAAAGATTAAATAAGCTGTGTCTGGGGAGTGCTTTGAGTTCTTCAAACGGGAGTGTTTTCTAGATCAAAAGCTAAGCTCTGACAGCCTGCTCAGGCTCCATCCTCTGCAGCTCAGTAGCCTGGGAGTGCCACCCTGGCTGCCTGTTTAGCATCATCGGTATCTATGGCAGGTGGCCTTACCTTCCACAGGGCTCTCAAAGACCTTGTGGAAGGCCTTGGCTGCATGGTTCTCAAATGTTGGCATGCTTCAGACTTACCGGAGGATTTTTTTTATTAAAAGATACATTCCCACCTTTTAATAAAAAGGTGCCTCTGGACCCTCCCCCATAGAGTCTAAATTAGCATTATGTGCGTCATAGCGTAGCACACATTCCAGGTGATTCTGATGCAGGCAGGCCATGGACCACACTTTGAGAAATGCTGCTCTAGCCTGTTCGTCCAGAATGAACCGGCCTGCAAAAGGTAGACCCCGGGGTGCCCTTCCTATCTGTAATTGTAGTCCTGTCTTGGGGTGGAGAGATGCTCAGCAAGGGCTCTAGTTGACTGAGGCTGTGGCTTAACCCGATGCATGTATTTGGAGGGTGAAATAATTAAATAGACATTGCCTGAGGTCAGGGGGATTGGAGGGAAGAGTTGTGAGAATGGCTGGTAGAAGACAGGTTGAAGGGTTAGGTCCACGTGTTATTAATTGATAGCTTGGAGAGCTCTACTACGGGTCGTTGTCCTTGCCTTGTTCAACATTTTTACCAATGGCCTGACTAAAGAAAGATACGGGGGAATATTTTGTAGTAATAAAAAAAGTTTCATCCATGAAGAAGATACAACATATATAAAATTTTAAGCAACTAATAACATAGCAGCAAGATACATAAGGCAGAAACTTTTAGAGAAACAAAGAAAATTTGGCAAAAACAAGACGTTAGAAAACTTTTAGAAGACTTTAACAAACTTATATCAGATTTGACACATTATTCTGGCAAAAGTACATTAAAGATACAAAGTATTTGAAACCATCAACTAGTAAGCTTAAGAGATGAATGTAGAATTGTGTGCCTTACAAATAGAACATGCATTCTTCTCATAGAAGTTATGCAAAAAATTGATAATGTTTTTGGTTTCAGAGGAAAGGTTAATAGATTCCAAAAGGGAAATACCTTCCTGTATCTACTCTTACTATAATACAATTAAACTAGGAACCAATAATTTGTATATTTTAAAAAACACTCTTCTAAATAACTCTCAGATAAATTAAATCATAAAAACCAACATTATAGACTGTTTAGCTTACATTCTGATTGAAATTTTAAAATATTAACAAAACTTGGAAGGTCATTGTGTACACTAGAGGACTAATTGGAATTCATTAATAAAGTGACAGGCTGGAAACAGGGACTGAAGCTAACAAACATGAAATCATTTGAGATCTTGCTCTGCGTCCAAAAAGCCAATGGCAGAAGCATAAGGTGGGGGAGACATGATTCAGCAGCACCGTCTTTAAAACAAAAACAGTCACTCAGACATAAGACTTAGAGGTTTTAGTTGACAAATAGGTTCAGCATTTATCAACTATGATGTGGCTGCCAAGAAAAGTTAATGCGATTTTAGGCTGCGTGAATAGATATGCCACACCTGGAGCGAGAGAGGCAATAGTCAGCTCTAATCCGTACTAATCAGGCTCATCCACTGGGCATTCAGTTTGGGGCTCCATAGCCTGAGAAAGAAAATGAAAGCCCATTTAGAGAAGAGTGAAGGGGACGGTGAAGGGACTTACAAGAAAAATCCATGTGAGATGCAGGTGGAGGAAGCGGAGAGAGTTGGCCTGAACCCAAGGCAGCTCCTTGAAGTCTTGGTGCTGTTCTCAAACATATGAAGGGCTTTGTGCAGAAGAGAGGTGAAGTTATGCAATGACAGATTCCTATGAGCCAGAATGTTTCAAAGATGAAAGAGCTGCCCGGAGAAACAGCAAGTTCCCTATCGCCGGAGGTGTTCTAATCTAGTTTGGGTAAATACTTGATGAGGATATCTCAGCAAGGATTTTAACATTGGAAAAATAGGTGGTTGGATCAGACAGACTTTCCAACCCTGACATTCTTCAATTCCCATGGAATCTAGTGTTCCCTCAGTATGGTCCGTGAGCTTCTGAGCTTGGTACACAGAGTCGTAGATTGAATAGTTGCAGGTTTTCAGCATTACCGTGTTGAGCACAGGCCCTCCAGGTGACATAAATGTCTGAGTGTGCACAACCTAGTCGAGACAGCATGAATCCAGATGAAACCATTGTTCAGAACTGTTTAGCCGTGTTGAGCACAGGCCCTCCAGGTGACATAAATGTCTGGGTGTGCACAACCTAGTCGAGACAGCATGAATCCAGATGAAACCATTGTTCAGAACTGTTTAGAATTAAAGGTAAAGTGGTCAAGTGAAGACGTGTCATAGGTGTTCAGAGAAAGGGTCACTGAGGGTTGGAATAGATGAGGAAATCCTCAAGGAGAAGATTTCAGTCTGTGTGTGTGTGTGTTAGACAATATGAGGGGTCTTAGAAACTGTGGGGACAAAGAAGTATAAAATACGCAAACACGATTGGCTGTCTCCTTCCTTTGAGCTGGAGTGCCACGTGCCATCTGCGCAGATCTTTTTAGAGCACCTCTCACAGCCAGCACAGAGCTCCCGCAGACACAGGCCTTTGGCTCTGCCGCTCTGGCGCACATGGAGCCTGCATCTCCATTCGATTGGTCTGACAGTTTCACTGACTGAGCTTTTTCTTCTTCATCTTCCCTGTTGCCTCTGAGCCTTTCCAAACCCAGCAGCCCTGTTATTCTTGAAACTAAGACTCTCTTCCCTTTGGGGAGACTGCCCTTGCCCTCCACAGCCCACGGTAGTAATTGCAATGACAAATACTCCCTGCATTCATTCTTTGCATCCATGCTCTCGTTTGTTGGTCATGACAGTGCTGGGAGGAATGCGGGGCAGGTGTGAGGGTGGGGACTAAAGAAGGCAGAGCACTTGCCCAAGGTCACCCTGAGGGATGAGCTGCTTCTGGGAGCAGAGCGCAGCCTTCTGACCCCGGGCTGGTTTGGTTCACACCCGGGAGTGGTGTGAACAGTTCATTGCTGCTCCCCAATTCTGGGACTGGTGTGTTCTGACCCAGGCTTGTCGCGATGTCGTTCAGGCCTGGGAAGTCTCCAGGAGCCCGTGTGTCCACAACCTGGTTCCGAGTTGGAGTGTGGTCAGGCCAGGGGACTGATGCTCCTCTGGAATCCCAGGGCTTCTTCGCAGGAGCCTCGCCTTTGTGAGTGAGGAAGATGAGGAAAAACCATTCGATGCAGCATCTGGGGCTTGAAGTAAAGCAGAGTAACAGAAGGTGGATCCAGCGACGCTTCACTGAGGCGCCTGTGGTCGTCTGTGAGTGATGGCCGGCAGATGGGAGAAGCCAGAGTAGAGCCTGTCAGCAGCCCGAGGAGGTCCTGCTGGGCCTCTGTGGCTGCATGCCTGCCGGGCCAGCCAATCCTGAGGGCCCAATCCTGCTGCTTGGCTGACCCGACCCGCACAGCCACCCCCCATCCCATGGCTCCAGATGGGCTTCTGGTATCTGAGCTCCAGGGGCTGCCACCATAGGACAGGAGAATCTTGGTGCAGACTCCAGCAGACTCTTCTTTACACCTCTGTAGGAAAATTGCTGCTTATGATGAAGAAATCCAGCATCTCTATGAGGAGATGGAACAACAGATCAAAAGCGAGAAGGAGCAGTTTCTCCTGAAAGTAAGTGTCCACTCCCTGGGCCGGGCTCTGCGGGCCAGGCTGACAGGTCTACTCTGAGCACCTCCCGATTTATGACTGCAGTGCCTCCACCCGTGGCACCACTGGTCCCTCTTTCTCTGCTTTATTTTTTTTAAGGCCTTTGTCATCTTCAAACATGACATAGTGTACCTGTTTATTCTGATTGATTGTTGTCTGGCTCCTCCCACTAACATGTAAGCTCCGCAAGAGCAGGGACCTTTATCTGTCACAATGATGTATCCTCAGCACCTAGGCCATGCCAGGAACATGGCAGATCCTCAACAAATGGTGCAGAATCAATGAATGAATGGACAAGGGAAGTTATGGGAAAAGCCCCGAAGTCTAAAAGGATGGGCCCTGCTGTTGAGGTTTAAAGCGGGAAAAAACTCTAGAACCCAGGTGTGGTACATTTAGGTCTTACGTGTCCCTCTTTCTGGCTTGCAGGACACGGAGAGGTTTCAGGCCCTCAGTCGGGAGCTGGAACAGAAACTGTTATCTAAGGAGCAGGAACTGGAGCAGCTCATCCAGAAGCAAAAGAGGGTATATTGTTGTCAGTGTCCTCAGAGTACCTGGCTCTTCATTCTGTCCTTTTCTTTGGCTCTTGACCGCTTTCCCTGACATTCAGTTAACACCCCCCCCCTTTTTTTTTTCATCTAAGAAGAACCATTTAACTGTACAAAAGATATCATTTAAAGTCACAGGTGATCCCAAGATAAAGTCCTTACTTCTCCCACACCCAGTGTTTAACTTGGAAAAGTTACCAAGAGCTCCCCCATGAGGGTCTGCAGACATCCTCAAATCATGAAGCCCAGGAGCCATGGAATGCCAGAACTTGCATTTGTTTCCTGCATCCTGTGTAAGAAAGAGAGAAATGCTGAGGTGCAAGGGACATTGCCTAGTCACTGATATGTGGGGGGAGGCTGCAGGCAAGTTTGTTTCCTTCAGGGTGGCCATGGGTAGCACCAGCTGGAAAAGGCTCTTTAGAGGTCAGTCTGTCCCTCCCCAGTCTGCCCACATGCCCGGACAAGGTTCGTCAGCCTCCTGTGTGACAGTTCCCCTAACTTGGCAGGACAGCTGCAGACACCAGAAGCTCCTCTCTGATACACCAGAGCCTACAGGAGGCAGGCCGGGTGGTGCACTCTGCAGGGCAATGTCTCTATGGCTGGGAATGCCTGGTTAATGGCCCCAGGAAGATTGATTACCTGGACAAACTTCATGCTCAGTGGCCTCCTCTCCATAGCAAGGGCTCTGGGGAGAGAGGCCAGGGTGCTATCGGTCTGCTGGTTCGTTTTGTCTGGTGCTGGAAGGAATCCAGCCCTGGACAAACCCAGACACATTGCTTCCATTTGAATAGAGGAGGCTATCTTTAGGAGCACATTAAAATACACTTGAAGACATGCCTGCTAAGGCAAGAGGCTGTCCCACTGCTGCTTCATAAGCTATGTATGGATTTGGGGTTTTTCCTTTCTGCAGGAGATGATTTCAGCTCCGGGAACTGCTATCTGCCTTCCTGCTCCCCAGTCCACAGCCGCGCCTTGCTTCTCCTTCCTTTTCTCCTCCTCGCCATTATGCATTAAGTCCTCTCAGTGAGACACATGCCTCGCATGAATGACTGCCACTCGATTTAGTTACTGCGTGCTGCCTGATCGCACAGGAGCCTCTAGAGGATCACACAAAAGATCTCGTTCTTGCCTCCTCCTCCCCTTCCCGTCCACATTCACTAAACCAGATTTACTATGAGATATTTACCTTGGTTTCATTCTTCCTCTGGTGAGAGGCTGGAAGCTCTGCAAAGCATAATTACCAGTCGAGAAAAGCTGAAGTTATACAAATCAGGTTTTTTAGTTGCTTTAGGGGCATGAGAAAAGGTATATGCTCTGTTTGACCTGTTTCAGTTATTCCCCAAGAATGTCCAGGGCTCCTGGCTACCCCACGAAGTTTCTTTAGATTGATGGAATTGTACTTCTTTAGCTGAGAGAAGAAAAAGAAATAAATAGGTTTACCATCAGCATTCAAAACTGGGAAGGATTGTTCTATAAAGAATGCTTCTTAGCTGTTCTCCATGTCAATTAAGGACCACGGGAAAGAAGTTGGCTTAAGGGGCGACACGCGGGATTTAGATTAAATCTCAAGACCATTCTGACTTTGAGATGAGAGACACAGATGGACTGTGGAATTTCTTTGCCTAGGGGTCTTTTTGAACAGGGCAGCTCCCCCTGGACAGCCTACATGGAGACAGGGAGATGCTATTTGGGCTTGCAGGTGGTGAGGGGTAGCAGGGGCGGTCCCTCCCTCCAAGACAGAGAGCAAGGTGAGGCCGGCAGGGACGACGGTGGCTGCTCAGCCTTGCCCTCTGCTCCCCATTCCTTCCCAGCTGGAAGGCCAGTGCACAGCCCTGCATAGCGACAAGCACGAAACCAAGGCTGAGAACACCAAGCTGAAGCTCGCGAACCAGGAGCTGGCCCAGGAGCTGGAGCGGACCACCTGGGAGCTCCAGGATGCTCAGGGGCAGCTGGAAAGCCTGCAGCAAGAGGCCGACAAACTCCACCAGGAGAAGGAGAGGTGAGTCTGGCCTGTGTGCACCCCTTCTGCCGGCCTCCAGCTCTGTCCCCCGCTGTGGGCATGTTATCCCCCCTCTCAGTGTGCTCAGGGGCAGCTGGAAAGCCTGCAGCAAGAGGCCGACAAACTCCACCAGGAGAAGGAGAGGTGAGTCTGGCCTGTGTGTACCCCTTCTGCCGGCCTCCAGCTCTGTCCCCCGCTGTGGGCATGTTATCCCCCCTCTCAGTGACCCTATCTCCTTGCTCCGGACTCACGGTTCCCTGAGATGAGACCTCTTCTAACCCTCTTCTAGGATTCTGAGACTGGTAAGCAGACCGGTCCTGTGCCGAGCATTGCCCAGGATTGACAAGAAATAGACAGCCCTGTTCTCAGAAAATTTATGTGATTAGAAACACATGTTATTCCATCAGCAAATATGAGGCAGTCTGTGAGCAAATGCTGAGTGAGCGGACAAACCACAGGTCACTGTCGTCGTTTCGAGACCTGGGAGAGGAAGTGAACCCGCGTGAAGCAGGAAGCCTTCCGAGATCAGCATAGAATGTGATGGGGTGTGTGGCTGTGCTCTGGAGCCATGCCCCAGTTCTGCCCCTTTTCCACCACTGTCCCTCTGATTAGACCGTGTGGGCCCCACATTGCCAGGGCCGGTTTGCCTGTGCACTGCTTTTGGTGTCCAAGCCTGGTTCCACTTGCTCGGCACAGACACACCTGAGGAAGAATCGGAGGTGGAGGTGGGGGTGGGGAGAGGGGCCACCTTAAACGAGAGGAGCCACGGAGGAATCAGTCATTTGTCCTGTCTTGGGAGTGTTAGTTTATGAGGACAAAGGCACTCTGAGCCGCAGGGCAGAGGAAACTCACATGTTTATTTATTTATTCATTTATCCATATATTCATGGACTTATTCATTTGACAGACAAGAGGAGCCACGGAGGAATCAGTCATTTGTCCTGTCTTGGGAGTGTTAGTTTATGAGGACAAAGGCACTCTGAGCCGCAGGGCAGAGGAATCTCACATGTTTATTTATTTATTCATTTATCCATATATTCATGGACTTATTCATTTGACAGACATTTATTGGAAACTGTTTCATGCTAGTTACTGTGCTGGGCATTCAACATATCCCACTTATGTCAACAATTCAGCATAATCTCATCTGACCTTTACAGCATCCTGATATGGCAGCTACTGTCATTACCAACTCTGATTTATAGAAGAGGAAACTGAGGTTCAGAGGTTTTAAGTAACTGTCCCAAGATGCTAAGTGCTAGGCACATCTTGCTGACTGCCCCCCAGAGAATGAGACAGCCAGAAAATATTTATACAACAGTAGGACTGGCTCACTCATTCATTCATGTATACTTCATTCATTCACTCATGCTGCAAAAGGTAAGTGTGTTTCTGGTCCTGAAAGTTACCGGGTAGTACTGAAAGTCTGATTTCAGGGAAACGGGCAGTATTACTTACCAGCGCTCAATGCTTTTCAGATGTTAACTACCCTTGTTCAAAAGGGAAAGCTCTCACTCTGTCTTGACCACTGGTAAAATTTTGGTGCATAGGCCTAAATCAACTTGTTCTACCACTTTGGCTCATGTGTGGAGTCCTGTACCATCTGGGGCTGATTGCGTGGGGTAAGAGAGAGAAAATATTTGGACTGGGAATTTTACCCTAGTAAGATATCTCTAATTTAAAAAAAAAAAAAAGACTCAGGTAACTGACTTAAAACAAAACAAAGCCCCTGCACTCCAATTCTTGGATGACCAGTTGTGGAAGGACAGCATATTTCATTGTGGATAAGCAAAATCAGTTCCTCCTCATTGAGAGCAGTTCAGCAAGACACAGGCATTTAATGTTACAGAGTTAAGGATTCGAGCTCTTAAAACTCAATCAAGTCTTAAAAGCAACAAACATCTGAAGGCACAGGCATTAGAACAGCAAATGTAGATAAACACCAGAGCTAGAGCATCACATCACAGCGTGTGGATTTAGAGCTTGCTGAAGACTTATCTTAATTAACCAAGCAGAGACACAATCTCTGGAGGTTGGGAATTGAAAAAGAGGGAAGGAGCATTGGGAGGAAGAGAGAAATATGATTCCAGAAGCTTCACTACTCGCTTTTAAGAAGCGTATGCAGCTGGGAAGCATGCTGGGACCCAGGAGAGCACGGCCTGTCCATCCAGGGAGGCCAGGAGAGCAGTGCCACAGAGTTTGGCTTGTTCTCTGTAGGACAGAATTGCAGACCAACACCACTGAGAGGACCTTAGTGTGCTAATCCACCTCCTTCGTTTTATACAGGAGGAAACTGAGGCTCAGAGAGGTGTAGTGACCAACCCAAAGCCACACAGCTAGTTAGTGCCAGAAAACAGAGACAGAGCCTAGTTCTCCTGGTGTTCCTGTGCTTCCCCTGGCGACGTCTTGTGGCCTGATGCTGCTTCAGAGCAGCTGGGAGGGCAGAGGGTGGTCATTTATCAGCAAGAATTCTGAACAGGCAAAATGAATTTTCCTGTTCTCTGAAGATGCTCAAGGTGGGAGGTCTAGATTTTAAAGTGAGATAAAGAAGGAGCTATAAAGTAGGGAGATAATATAAAGACAAAGGTCAGCTGAAAACCAGACCTCTCTATTATTTTTTAATTAACTTTTATTTTGAGTAGGTAGTTTACGATAAGCCACAAAATTCACAAAGCAGAAAAGGATATACAGTCAAAAAGAGGTCTGATTCCCAGTGACCCCACAGTCACATAGAGGCCACCTGTCACGGTTTCTTGTGGGCCCACCCAGAGAACGCTATGTATGTGCCAGCACACACACACGCACACGTGTGTGCGCTGTCCTCCTTTACAAAATGTTGGCACACTGAGCATATGCTTCTGCGTTTGCTTGCATTTTTCACTTGACAATATGTTTTGTAGAGTGTTCCGTATCTCATCTTTCTCCTAAAAACAAAGCCAACAACAGTTCCCTAATGGTAACATAAACCTCTCGCCAATTACGACTCCAAAAAACCGCCAGTTCTTTCCCTTTCGGTTTACATGTTACCCAGGTATAGACTTTAGAACCTCTGGGTTAGAAGGACTTTAAAGGTCATTTAGTCAAATATCCAAGTGTCCTTTTTTTCTCATAAGTGCCTTTCTTTTTGTTGACACACGAAAAATCTGAATATATGTGTCTGTGTATATGTGTGTACAAATATCCAAATAGATACATGTTTACTAGACAAAGAGAGATACATATATTTGCACATATATGTAATGCATATGTGTATGTGCATGTGTTTGTATAGCTCCAACAGGCACCAGTGCTGTGTAGGCAGGGCCAGAGAAGACCGAGAATTTAGGAACTGGCTACTAAACACTGTGTGAGAACCCAGACCTTAGGTTGCTGATGAGTGGTTTTCCTTAGCAGAGGAAAAGCTGTCTGCTTCTGGCTGCTGCTGGAGAGAAGCAGGAGCCAGGGCAGGGCGGGGGAGCCAGAAAGCCAGGCGCAGGCGATCTTCAGTTCCCAGGGCACAGCAGGAACGGGCAGCTCTGCTCATGTAGTGCTAATCAGAGCAGGTCCTAGACGGGGGACTTGGGGACCCAGTTTGGATAATGGGAAATACATTGTTTTTTTCTCAAGTTGAAATTAAATATAATTGGTAATAAAATGTTAGGAATTTGCAGCTCCACAGGAGCCAGAGAAGATTTGTTGCTTAATTAGGATTGTTTGAGGTGAACTTGGAATTTGATTCAGTCTGTTATTGTCGTAAATTGACTTTATAATTATTCTATAAAGGGGAAAAAAGAAAAGAAACACAGATCCACTTAAGGAATCAGGTTCTCAGGAGCTCGGTGGGAGAGTCCCACGGACCCAGCGTGCTATTGCTGTTTTCGCCAGCTCAGTGATGGTGTCCACGGGGTGGCATAGGGGTGACTGTCCTTGCCCGGCCTTGCCTGATGGCTGGTGGAAAGTGACGCATTATCAGGCTGCAAGATGCTTCCTACACTAAGAACTATGCCGTGGTTTGGAAATGTGGAACTACGGACTCTTCGCAGTAAGATTGAAGGGCGACTTAAAACTTTCTAAAACATGGTGTAGATCTCAGAGGAAAAGACGGAGGCAGAACTGTGGAGTTAAGAAAGTTTCCCAGCATCACCCAATTCTGTTTTGGTTTTTTTCTTTTCTTTTTCGCTGGAGTAGTGCTGAAGCCTCCCCAGTCTACCCCTTCCTTCCTGTCTCTCTCCCTCTGTTCCTTATTCTCTCCCCTCATCGTTCTCTCCCTCCGTCCATTCGTTCTTTATTTGTTGACTACACCTCCAGGCCAAGCTCTGTGTTGAGGTCATGGATGTGAACAAACCCTGCCTCCACTCCAAGTCACAGTCACCCTGTGTAAGCCTCTCAGCCTCTCCCTTCTTCAAAACCCCTGGTTTGATTGACACATTCACACCGTGATACAGATGACTGATTGTAATGGAGACATTCAATTTCTGATCTACAGCTAGAGATGAAAAACAAAAAGTCTAAATTAAAGAAATGAATGCCCCACAGAGGAAATCCCACGTATCTGGGAACAGATTGGGGACTTTGGGGGAAGGTAGGAAAGGAAAAATGATTCCCCTAAAGCTCCTGAAAACAAATTGAACCAGCATCGGGGGTGGGGGTGGGGATCTGCTCTCGCCCTCCAAGATCGGGCTGGAGAAGAATATTGATTCTAATTCCCAGAAGTCTGGGTAGGACAGGGCGGTTTGGAGCCTGGGAAAACTGAGATAATGACCGTAAGCCCCTGCACACAGTAGGTGCTCTCCAGAGGAAGCCACACATTCCTCTAGTCCCCTCTGTCCCCAGTGCCCTGGCAGCTCCCCTCCCCAGACCAGCAGCCGTCATCATGCTGTGTTTGCCTCCGCAGGGAAGTGTACCGTGTCACCGAGAGCCTGCAGCGGGAGAAGTCTGGGCTCCTGAAGCAGCTGGATTTCCTCAGGTGCGTGGGCTCTGGATTGTGCAGAGAGCACCTCCCAGAAGCCTCAGGTTGGAAGGGCCAGTCGGAGGGTGTCTTCCCTGCCTATGTGCTGGAAAAACAGCTGCTCAGGGCGCACCCTCATTCCCCGGCCCCTACCGTGTTGTTCCAAACGCTGAGTACCACCCACTCTGTTATGTTTAGTCCATTTGCACGCACGCCCACCTCCCTCTCCAGTTTATTCCTCTTTGCAGTTAGGCTTGGCCTCATTCTTCTTGTGTCTCTCACAGTACCGTGCATGGTACTTGCTTAAGTTGGAGTGTAACTGGATTGATCATCTAATCTGTGCCAGAGGAGTAGGGTAGTTGCTAATGCAGGAAGTAACTGATGAGGAAATTGATATTAGAGGAATGAAGTAATTTGCCACAAGTGACACATCTACTTAACTGGTGGAGCCAGGATCGGAGTCCATATCTGGCTGTATTCAGTTCGCGCTTGTTGAATGAGTAAATGAATCATACACAGTGCACCAAGAAAGGAGTTTCCCGGACTTCTGAAACTCACTGTAATAAATTCAAAGTTCACTGGTTTGTAATGTGCCAAAAAACCCAAACTTGTGTAGGGAAAGACGGCATTTTCAGTTTTGCCTATGCAGTTTTTAAGTTACTCCACCTGCTGCCCGCCGAGCGCCTCTGGGGGATGGTGCTGAACTGGAGCTTGGGTTCTGATGCACAGAACACCAGTGGTTCTGGATCGCCTCCCAGATATACTACAAAGTTTTTGTTTTTATTCTTCTTTTTGTAAAAACAAGGTTAGGTTGCTGTGTCTGGCATCTGTGATGCCCCTAAATTGAAAAGTGCTTCAACTTAATACGTTCCAGGCCTGCTCCACTGAACACGTGATTCCGTCAGGCCGCCGAAGTCAGGGGAGCTGGAAACTACAAAGTTTTTGTTTTTATTCTTCTTTTTGTAAAAACAAGGTTAGGCTGCTGTGTCTGGCATCTGTGATGCCCCTAAATTGAAAAGTGCTTCAACTTAATACATTCCAGGCCTGCTCCACTGAACACGTGATTCCGTCAGGCCGCCGAAGTCAGGGGAGCTGGAAGGGGACTCTTAGGTGGCCAAGTTCTAAACCAGCTGAGAGAAGGTCTTGATTCTTTGAAAGGCTTTAGTAAAGGGAAGAGGACAAGACATACAAGGACAAGTTGGGTTTGGTGTTTTATTTCCTCCTTTTTTTCTATTGTACACAGGAAAAAATAAAGGGCAGATTCAAAGAGAGTGAGCACAGAGAATGCCAAGACAGTGTTCTGCAAACACTGCTGGGTTTTTCTAACATGCAGAGAGGCCTGAAGCCTTGCTGTGCTATCACACGGCTGCCAGGCTCACACTGCCAGGTGATGGAAGCCGAGGTGGGAGGGAAGGCCCTGTGGCAGGTTTTTCCTTCACAGTGCAATCACAGGAGTCAAGGAAGGAAATGATGTTGGGGTGGGGTGAGGTGAGGAGGCCAGTGGGAATGTGGTGGGGTGGGATCAGGTCAGTGGCTGGTATGTGACAAGGTGAGGAGGGCTGCCATCCTAATGCAGACGGGGGCAAACGGAAGCAATTTCAGGGCACTCGGTCAGGAGCATGCACTTTGGGGCTGGATGTAGTTCAAGACCCAGCACTGCCCCTCATTAGCTGGTATAATCATGGGCAGTTGACTCAACCAATTCGAGTCTTAATGTTCTCATCCTAGCTCACAGGCTTCTTCTGAGCGTTAGATGATTCGTGTGAGTGGGAATCACAAAGGCTAGCGATGTGAACGAAGCAGATGTATTTGAAGAGCGTAGCATTTCTTCAAATACTGAAGCTTGTGCATGGAGATGACCACACTGAGCAGGAAACCACACGGCATAGCCTCCAATAAAGGTGTGACCTCCCAGGTCTCCACAAGTCCTCACCAGCGACGAGGCCACAAACATACTGCCGCACAGAGTGAGGGTCCTTCCAGCCTGACACGCTCACTTTGCCATTCTCAGTGTTTATGAAATGCCCGCCACGTCCCTCCTGACTCCCTGGCTGAGTGCTGCCTGCTCATGACACGCAGGTCACTGAAAACAAGCCCAGCACATGGCTGGTTTTCTGCAACACTGGGGGAGTCGGGGTCAGTTGCCCTGGTTGTTATGCCTCAGGCCTGCTGACATCTACTCCTGCAGCGCATGGCACACGTGGCAGCCTCGTCCACACTAAGTACCCAGTAAGTGGCTGCACTGTGACAAGCAGGGCCCCACCATTGCCGTGCCCTCCCTTCCCCATCGAAGTGTGGATGCGTCCAAAGGACACTGGCCAGAAGAGTCACAGAATCACAAGACTGCAAGGCACTTTGAGGTCACCTGGCTCACCCTCTCAGCCTCTTGCATCAATGGGTGAAATTCCCAGCCATTAACCTCAAGTGCACTCTGCAGTCGTGCTGCGTCGAGTCCACTCACCTCCCCACTCTACTTTTCCACCAAGCCCCTGGCTCCCCTTTCCCATCCTCAGGCTCACACTCCTGCTTCACAGATGCCAGAACCTTTGCAGGAGAGCTCCAGAGCCCTTCTGTGCCGCGCCCCTGCCTTCCTGTTGCAGAGCCTGGGCTCCCGTGCTCCTAGCAAAGGAGCAACCCCCTTCCCAGCTCCTGCCCTAGAATGCGGTCCCATCCCTTCCTGCTTCCTCAAGGACTGTTCCAGCATTCCTTGTCGTCTCTCTCCTCCATCGTCAGTCTCCCTTTTGGAGGGACCTACAAGTGTACTACAGGATTTCTTACCCGACATCCCTTGTCCTCGCCTCCCCATCCGGCTACTTCCCATTTCTTCAGTCTCTTCACAATAGAACTTTCAAAAGAGTTGTTTACATTCACTGCCTCCGTTTCTTGGCATTCTCAATCTTCCCGTCAGGCTTTACCAACCTCTCTTCTACTGGGACAGTTCTTGTCCAGGTCACCAACGACCTCCGTGTTGCTAAAAGTATCACCCAATTCTCAGGGCCCTGCCCTAGGGCACAATGTTCAGGGGATCCTTTTATTTTTTATTTTTATTTTTGTCTTTTTGTCTTTTTTTGTGACCGGCAACGGATCGCAACCCTCAGTGTCGCGCCCGTACCGGACCGGGACCGGCAATGGGATCGCAACCCTCGGAGCTGCCCCCGCTCCTCGCTCAGCCAGTGAGCCGCCGGTCTGCACGTGGGATCCGAACCCTCAGCGGGAGCGCCGCCGCGCTTCCCAAGCGGTGCACTGTAGCAGTGTGCCACCGGGCCGGCCCTCAGGGGATCCTTTTAAAACTGGAGTCAGATCACGACACTCCTCTGCTGCCCTCCCCACCCCCGTGGCTTCGTATCTCATTTGGAGTAAAAATCAAAGTTCTTACAGTGGCCTGCAAGGCTGCAAGTGGGCAGATGCCTCCTGCCCCCCGTTTTTCCCCCAACCTCATCTCCTTTGAGCACTCCACTGCCCTCTTTTCAGTTTTTCACACACACCAGGTCTACCCCAACTCAGGGCTCTGTCCTTGCTGTCTCCTCTGCCTGGAATGCTTCCCTGCCGCCCCCCACTCCCAGATACCTGCCAACCTGCTCTCCCCTCCTTTAAGCCTCTGCTCAGGTGCTGCCCTTTCAGGGAGGCCTTCCCCAACCACTCTAGTTGAAATACCCTCCACCCTCCTTATTCCTCTTTCCTGCTTTATTTTCTAAAGATCAATTACCCACCCCACCCCACCCCTACCCCACTAAAATACAAGTTCCCTGAGGCAGGAACTTTTTGTTCTGTGCATTGGGGTGGCCTTGATGGCCAGAATAGTGCCTAGCATGAAGTGGGTGCCCAGGAGACGTTTGGGTGAGTGCATGCATGAGTGGTTCACAGACAGAGAGCCCAGTAGCAAGTTCACTAGGGAAGTCATCCCCTAGTGATAGGAGAGGCTGTGCATGATCCTGCAGGGCCATGGGTGTCACAGGCCATCCTGTCCATCCCCCTGTCTCTGAGCTGATTTACACACAATCTTCAGCCATGAACCACATCCCTAAGGAAAGACATCTCACACAGTCCCCGGGCCTTCCACACCAAGCCTCCCCCTGCACCTGTCTGAATGGCAAATCGACTGCTTTGGATCTGTCAGCTGCGAACTCCATGTCTGAACAGATTGCCCTTCACTGTCCACAGGGAAAGGAACAAGCACCTTCGGGATGAGCGGGACATACGTTTTCAGGTAATTGGCCAGGGCTCCTTTTCGGGGGGTGGGGGTGAGGGTGGCTGGACAAGGACTGTGGTCCAGGGGCAGCCAAATCTGTGTTAGGACTGGCCCAAGAATGTCCTGACACTGGAATCTGATCCTTTCTATTTGGGCAGAACAATGGCAAGAGATTTTTTGCAAATAATAAACATGCAGGGTGGCCTACTAGGTAACAGTGTGTTAATTTTCCTTGAAAAGACACACTTTCCTCTTGGCACAACAAGACTGAAATATTTGTGAGGGTCACACGTTTCTTAGATGCAGAAATGATAGTTCTATCTGTGAGACGGCGCAGTTGAAATGTCATTATCACTTTTAAACCAAAATGCTCACAGTTTTTTTCTTCATTTAAATTTTTATCTCTCGATGACAATTTTGCATTTTTACACTGTTATAGAACAAATTAAAAATGTGTATTTCATGATTTGCACAGTTGATTTTATGTGCAATTCTTTTCTGCCCTGTAGGGACGCCTGCTGTTCTGTACCTGAGCACCGTGCCTACATACTTGCCCAGTAGCACGCAATCCTGTACTTATTTAAAGCTCTTCACTGTGGGCCGTGTTAACAAAAACTAAGATTTCATGTTCCCTACTCACCCCCGCTTTAGACAGGAGCCATGGATGCTCTGAAGGGGAAAAAAACAGGGGCGGATTGATCGATGCAACCTGCTAATTGTCAGGATCATCACGCCGTGAATCTCATGTGTGTCCCTGGGCAAGTCATTAGCCACCCAGACCATGACACCAACTGCCACAAGAGGAGATGGAATACTTATCCTTCCCCACCACCCATATTATAAGGATTTTTTTTTAATTCTTGTAAACAGGGTGATGTGTACGGGACCCTTAGCTGAACAACAACCTAAATACAATCAGCATGAGTTTGCCCTCAAATAGGTGCAACCTGGTTTATAACTGCAAATCCCCGAGGGACCTGGTTGCACACCATTTCTTTTATATCCCTGACTGGCAGCAAACATCTCTGCCACCCACGTATGTGTACTGTTAGAGCAAGACTTAAGCCTACACATGTTTGTTTGATGATGATAATGGTTATAATTGTTTTAGAAGTAACACTGAATTTATTTTAAAATTTCCAACCAAATGTCACCCTAATTCCTTCACCTCGCCTCCCTTCAACTGCCAACTCATTCTGCTTTGAAAGGGGGATGGAATTATGAACTCCAGTGGGAAACCAAAGAAAGAGGAATAAAATCATGTTGATGCTGAATAATAATTAAAGATTAATTTGGAGTCATTATAGCCATACCTTCAGAGGCCCCAGGAGCATGGCAGCTCCTCCTGTCTCACTAAGAATCATTGGGAACCATGGGTATGGCTGATTAACAAGTGATTCTTCCTGTGATCTAACTCCCCCTCATCTCCTGGAAGACATCTGCTAGGGAGCATTGGCAAAGGGCTTTGTAAGCCCCTGCTCCACCCAGGCTCTCTGTTACAGATGTTTGAGCAATTTATCTACACCCAGCCCACTTCCACAAAAGATCTGAGACACCGTAGGCCAGCATAGGAGCTATGGACAGGGCACTGGGTTAATTGATCCTCTGGGCTGCTCCCTTTCTCATTATACTGGGGACTTTGGAGATAAAGAAGGATTAGAACCACACAGAAGAATGTGAATTAAAGATACACAGAAGTTTTTTATGCCTATAAATATTTTTCCCACTCATTAAAAATGTATGTCTTCTTTTCCTCTTGCAAATTGCCAGTGCTTCTGTGAAGAATAACATGGTGGACCCCAGGCTCTACACTGTGTATCCGCTCATCTGAGCAAATGGAAGGGAGGTGGGGGCACTCTGGGGAGGGATGATGGCAGAAGAGAAGGGCGTGCGGATGCCCACAGGGAGTCCAGCACGCTGCGGCCTGACATCCCAGTTCTGTTTAGAGCCTGACCTAAGAGGTGGGAGCAAGGAAACCTTTCAGCTCCAACACTGGGGCAAGGCAGCAGAGTGCATCTAAGGGCATTTTATGTTTCTACAGCAAGACAAGGCCTCCAGGGCAAACACAGATGCTTCCAAAGCAAACTGCAAACAGAGATCCGGCTCTGTGATAGGCAAATACGTGGATGGCAGAGGGATTCTCAGAAGGTAAGTCACCATTCTGCACTCACTAGGCTCTGGGCCCATGATCAGTGCAGAACAAGACGTGGCCCTTGAGGGGAGGCCTGAGGTCAGCTGCACCCCCTCCCCTTGAATTATGGACGACGTGCCCCTGCCTGTGCTGACGTCTAAGCCAGAGGAGGGCTGTACAGAGCAAACCCCTAGGACAGGGCATTGTCTTCTGAGGCTGCCCCACCCCAGCGTGTGCCTGCAGAGAGAGAGTGAAGAGGGGCTGCAGATCAGCAGAGGAGAGAGAGCAGGAGGGACGACTCAAGGGAGAGAGAGATGGAGTGTGCGGCTGGACCATGCTCTGTCGTCTGCGGCACAGCATGGATGCACCTCGTCCTTAAGGAACGTGACTGTATTGGCTGTGAAGGTTAATTAAAGTGTCATGGAATCTCCAATGGTTAAACTCCTTTTACAGACAAGATGGGGGCCTGTGCTTGACAGATCATTTCAATGATTTATATTTAATTAACTCAAAGATAACGTGTTTTGTTGCTGTTGGACAGCACATGATTGAGTTTGAATACCTGAAAGGTGGGCTCATCTCTCATTCAAGCAAACAAGCCAGTCCCCTTCCCCCTCTCCCTTTTGGCATGTGCTCCATACACATAGATGGCCACAGAGAGGTACGGGCAGCCAGATCTTTAAGTGTCAGACTGTCCCGACCCGCGGGATATTCAACACAGACCCTGGAGGGGGGAGTGGGAATGGGATGAGACAAGAGACACGAGAGATGGGAGACAAGACAGTATTCTAATCAAGTCTCGTTTATTGATTCTTAGGTTACATCTTATATAGGAAAAAGCAGGCATATTGTAAGGAGTTAGGAATGCAGGAATATGATAAGATTTTGAGAAGAAACAAAGTCAGAAAATCTCTGATGCAAAGAAGCCCCCAATCTTTACAAGAAAGCAGAAACTTGGAAGGAGATAAGAGGTCACTCTTGAGTAGACTTGCATAGCCAGGAGCACAGCGTCCCAGGCACAAACAGATTATGAGGCAGATATCCCGTAAGCACAGACATCTGACACAAGCAGATTGTCACGTAGGCCTGGTCACACAAGAAGGGGTGTGGGGCTACAGGTCCCCAACATCAGACTAGGGGAGAAGGTGTGGAAACATGTTCTTGTAGGAGAACCTGCAGACTACAAGCGTGAAATAAAAAGATAGGCAGAGGGAAAATGGCTCTGGGGATATAAATCAGCTCATCAGTAAAATCTTTGGGCCTGATCATCGTGAATTCCTTTTCTAAATAGCTGAATAATGAGATACAATTTGGGAGCCAATTTCTGTAACAGCAGTTGGCCTGTTGATTCCTCAGAACTGAATGTATTCATTGATTGAGTGTTTCAACAGGTATTTACTGATTACTCTATACCCGACATTTTTTTTTCTGTGCTGCTGCCAAAGATAAATTAGACACAGGATAAATTAATATCTATTATTAAATGCTCAATTAATAAATATGTATTGGGTGCCTACTATGTGTGAGCTACTGTGCCATGTGCAGGGTGGACCCATCTCTGCTTCACAGAGCTTATGGTTGAGTGGAGGAAACAGGCAATAATCGAGTAAGCAACAAACTGTGAACCCTGACCTCCCATACAGACTTCGGCAAACGGAGCTGCTCTTTCTACAGCTGGTAGATAGCGTCTGGTGGCAAAACCAGAAATGCATTTAGTCATGCTAAGCTGAAGGTCTTACGGAATGTCAATAGTGCTTGGGAATTTCCCAAACAAAAAGTTTTTTCCAAGAAAGGTAAGGGCCGGGCCAGGCCGGTGGCGCACTGGATAAGTGTGCTGCTTGGGAAGCGTGGCGGCGCTCCCGCCCGAGGGTTCGGATCCCACATGCAGACCGGTTCCCGCTCACTGGCTGAGCGAGGCGCAGGAGCAACACCGAGGGTTGCAATCCCGTTGCCGGTCCCCGGTCCGGTACGGGGGCAACACTGAGGGTTGCGATCTGTTGCCAGACACGGAAAAAAAAAAAAAAAAAAAAAAAAAAAAAAAAGAAAGGTAAGGGCCTATTTAAGTGGCCATTTCTTTTCTGGCTACAAAGCTGGTGAGAATTATGCTGTGCGTGCACACACATGCTCACACGTGCACACACATGCTCACACGTGCACACAGGTACTCACACGTGCACACAGGTACTCACTCGTGTGTATAAGCAGAGCAAACATGGATGGGAATATTGCTTTCTAAAACAGATAAGCAGCTGTTTGGATTTTATTGAAAACTAGTTTTATAAGTAAAGGGGAAGGTGCTTGAATTGCTACAGATCCTTTATATCAAGAGACGAAAACTAATTCACCATTTTTGTGAGCAAGCACTGCACCTTATTTATCCTTTAGAATTTCAGTTAGCTTCAAAATGGTGATAAATGCATTTTTTTCTTTTTTCTTCCTACTCTTGGTCCTTGGGAGTAATAGGTATTATAAGCCGGGGAGGGGGGGGGCATTTCTCTCTCCTGAATATTCTGTGTTCTTCCCTTCCTTTCCTTCTCCTTTGGCCCTGGTACCTCCCTACCCCATCTCCATTTTGTTTTCTTTTCTAATCTGTGAGAGTGTGCACACATGCACATGGGTGTGTGTGTGTTTCACTTTTTTTTTTTTTTTTTTCTTTTTTTTTTTTTTTCGTGTCCGGCAACGGAGCGCAACCCTCAGTGTCGCACCCGTACCGGACTGGGACCGGCAACGGGATCGCAACCCTCGGTGTTGCTCCCGCACCTCGCTCAGCCAGTGAGCGGGAACCGGTCTGTATGTGGGATCCGAACCC